CCTAGGTATGGGGATTTGTGTTAGGTCCTATTTCATGCTGGTTATCAGGCCATTTGTTACCTCTTTATAGGCAGGATTTGGCTTTTTACAAGTTCCTCTCAATACGTACATTCACTCTAAGCCCAACTAGTTCTCACATGTGAGAGTCTGAGATACCTGGGGGAATAGATGCTTGGTAGAGGTGCCAGGAGCAGGCAGCTTGGGAAAACCAGTGGTAGGGTCCATCAGTGAACTAGCCTGAGAGTGTGAACTGGGAAAGTCTACACCCAGACAGGAAGAGGGTTGAACATGGTGACTGGACTATTACAGATTTGACTGGGTGCTCATCCGAGGTTTGGAACAGGTACATAAGACGAAACTCAGATACCTCACCCAGACAGTGCACAAAAACAGCTTTGTACTTTCCTCTCCTGATCCCTGATAAAGAAATCTCTATTGAAATAAAGAATATATTAAAGAAAATCTGTACTGGAAAGGGAATTCCTCTGTTCTGTGGCTTCTCTAGCAAAGATAGGTGATGCTTGAGTAATTTTTATGCCTCTCTCTGTGTTTCTGGAAACTGGAATTCAAAGCATCTTGGTTCAGGGACCTTTTAAAAAATATATATATATGGGGTGGCTCTCCAGGCTCAAATATTAAACATCTATGAGTATTTTTAAAGGATTGGTAGTAACCCATACATGTGGACGCTGTCTTAGAAGGATTTTATCTTTTTTTTTTTTGGTGATCGGTGGCCCAAAACTGTCTCTTATATTTAGAAGCATGGATCTAGGGTTAGGTATCAAGATACATGCATGGTGCTATTTTGCTGAATGCAGCTGTCCTGCTGTAGGCCAAAGATAATTTGCTGATCCAGGAGCTGAGGCCAGCGATTTTATGTCTGCATCTGCTTCTGCCCATAACTTGTGGGTAAAGACACAGCAACTTCAAGAGCTATAGCCACATCAGTCCTAGCAATGATAAGAGCAGCGGGACAGGGGGGATATTTACTACTGAGCCTTTCCTTCCGCAGATATAACCAGGGCTCCCTCTTGCCAAGTGACCGCATAACATTTTGTTCATGCCTGTCTGGGTACTGTTTATGTGCCTGCACTCCCACTAAACTGTAAGCAACCTCCCCAGGGTTCTCTCTTAATCATATTGGAACTTCCAAAGCCTAGCCCAGTTTCTATGGTTGGACAGGTGCTGTATAAATATTGGTCTGACAAGGAAATGGATGGGAGTGACAACACAATGGGGAAATTGTTTGAAAAGCTGCTAGATTTCTCTTGTCCTGCATGTAGTAGGCATAGCATAAAGCAACGTGCCTAATGTGGACAGTGATTGTTTTTTCTGCCCAGCATCTGTCTCTTCTTCTTCTGGTAAAAGCACTTTGGATTTCCTTTGGGGAACCACCCTTCCCGGACCCTCAGTCCATAAAGTTTGGGTGGAGCTCCAGTGGTTGAATCCTGACTTTGGGCCTGGCCAAAAGGGACACCACACACCCCTGGCCACAGCATCAATTTGTGTTGGTATGGCAGCCACCCCTGTTTGTTAATGTTTGGTGTCCATTCTGATGGGCCGGTTCCTGTTTCAAATCAATTGTGCATTATTTTCAATTGAACTCTTTTTTTTTTTTTTTCTCCTGGAGCTATTAGGGAAGAAACACTTTATTTCTACAGGCGTTACTCAGCTGGTAGGAAGATGTCCAAAGCTGTTGCCACTGTGAAGCTAACATGAACTCAGCGAGTTGAGACTTAGGAATGGAGCAGGATAAGTTCCTAACAACTCTGAGCACCAAGATCCAGCCACACCCGAAGCTATCCCTGGAATCTTCAGTTACATGAGCCGTAAACTAAACATTTTGCTCTACCAGTTTTTTATCACTTGATGAAAGAGTCCCTTAACTGACACACCAGATCAATGGGGCAATCTCAGCTTTGCAGGATGCTCTGGGGAAGACCACCGTACCACTTTGTCAATCTTAGAACTTAGTGCTCTGGGGGCCCAACAAAAACCAGAGTCCCTTTTGACTCCAAAAAGGGAAACTCACTTAGTGACAGTATTTTTCTTTTCTTTTTTTTTTTTTTTTTCCTTTTTGTCTTTTTCCGTGTCCGGCAACGGATCGCAACCCTCAGTGTCGCCCCCGTACCGGACCGGGACCGGCAACGGGATCACAACCCTTGGTGCTGCCCCCGCGCCTCTCTCAGCCAGTGAGCGGGAACCGGTCTGTATGTGGGATCCGAACCCTTGGCGGGAGCGCTGCTGCGCCTCGCAAGCGGCGCACTAGCGCAGTGCGCCACCGGGCCGGCCCATGACAGTATTTTTCTTATTTTACTTTTACTTTAGTGGGACTAACTTTTTTTTTTTTTACTTTTTTTTGACAATTTTTTTATTGAAAGATAATTGATTATATATATATTTGTGGGATACATAACCAAATATTCAATACATGTGCACAATATACGGTGATCAAATCAGGATAATTAGTACGCTCATGTTTACAAAACATGATAAATCTTTGTGACCCTTACCTGGTTTTTTGCCAACCCTCCTCTCCTTCCCACTTTCACACCTCTAATAACCAGTTCTGCTCTCTCTCTCTCTCTTTTTTTTTTTGACTAACATTTTTAATGCCCACAGAAGGGCATTTCAGGCCATAAATTAGTTCAGAGAGTGGATACCTATTTAGCCCCACCCTTGGCCTCTCTGTGGTCTTCTCTACGAACTGAGGCTGGGATGGGTGAGCATATTTTGGTTACAGAAGTTTCTAGAAGGTTGGTAACCCCCCTAAAACACAATTCACAAACTGTGGTAAACAGGTTTACTTAAAACCATTTTTATTCTGCCTCTCAGCATACTTTTCATTTGATTTGGGTAAAAGATCAGGAACTCAAATACACACAAACAAAACCCAAGATATCAGAAACAGAAATCATGATCCAATATACTGGAATGACGCTAAAATCTCTGTGTGCTGAGAATTTGTGTCCCTGATTCAATGTCCTCTTGGGACAAGAGCTGGCTCATAATGGGCATCTGGGTGAAATGACACGTGGAATCTGGTGTCCATCAACTTTTATTTTTTCTAGGGTCCAGTATTTTAACAAATGCCTGAGAAACACAGTTCTAAGAACAATGCTTTGTATTTGTATAGCACTTAGAATTTTCCCCCAGGGACATTCACATCTACTGTGGCAATTAATTCTCATAACAACATTGTGATGAGGTAAGTAGGCAGATGTTCTCCATTTTTCTGATGAAGAAATTTGAGGCACAGAGAGGCTAAGAAACTTTACAAAAATCAGCTTGCATAGATAATTAGTGGCAAAAGAAAAAAAAGGGCATCGAAACTCAGGTATTTTGATTCTCAGCCTCTTGTTCATTCAATTAGAATAAGCTGCCTTTTCTTTTGCTTCTGAAATTCATTATCACTGTGTTACTAATATTAGTTCTTAAAGTGATTTTTGCCATGTATACATATAATCTGTTGTGTTAACCACTTGTCTTTGAGTCCTCCTACTTTCCCTGAGTAAATTTACTTGAACAGAAATGATATATCAATTCATATGTGGAAAAGTAATAAGAGGAAGGTAATAATAAAATAAATATCATGAAAACAAAACAATATTTAAATTCTATCTAGACAGAAGACTCTGCATCTGAGGCCTGCTCTTTCTTTGTAAAAAGAAGAAAAGAACCAGCGTCAGAAAGGTCAGAAAAGTGTTAAGGGCCCACTAGCACTAAATAGAGACTTTCTCCTTGCTGCAATCAGGATTGAAAAAGAATAGAAAAAGGGAAACATTCTTTGTATTCAGTATTAACATTGTGTCTATAAACTACTTAAAAATTATCTTGTAGGGCTGGCCAGTTAGCTCAGTTGGTTATAGAGCACAGCCTTATAACATCAAGATAATGGGTCTGGATCCCCATACTGACCAGCCACAAAAGAAAAAGAAAAAGAAAAAGATCTTGTGTACCACCAGTGGCACAAGTCTAGTGCTCTGTGAAAAACTGGATCAGCGGGTTCTGGCAGGCAGAATAATGGCATCATTAACTAGTACATTCCCACGTAAAGGATTTACATTTGACAGAAAAGAAATACGAAGGGTGGCATTTCCGGGTTGGCATTCAGGAAAATCAAAGATCTTGCCTGAGACTTGTTAAAGAGAGAGAGAGAAAGACAGAGAGTGAAAAAAAGCACATTCCATAAAACACAGTTTTATTCCCAAAACTGGGATGGAGAAGGTGCTCACATGCCTAGAATTGACCACTAAGTACATTCTCAGAGTCCATTTGAGTGAAGAGTGAGGTTATGGTCAAGTTGAACCATGTGAGTGCAAGCAAGGGAGGGGGCTATTAGGAAAAGTAGGGGACAAGACAAAAGGCCGGAAAGCCCCTGCCCTTGAGTCTTTGATGACCAGATGGGTGAACTCTGGGAGGAGGGGTGTGGATGGAGGAGGAGTTACTGAGGATTGAAGTGAAGCCATGACATATAAAAATAAAAGGAAACCCCCCCACAGATTCAACTATACAACTAGACAACTTTACAACTATACAACTAGACAATTTTAAACATACTGCTAATGTTTGTGCTCGACACTGTAGACACAAGCATCCACTGCTCTTCCTAGAAACCTCCCACTCCTCCCAAATCCAGACCCACCCTCCAATTAAAAGTAATGAGGTTTCCTATCTCTGTAGAAGAGGAAAAGATATGACAGGTTGTGCTAAACTGAGACAGTGAGACTTCATTTTTTTCTTTTTTACAAATCAGTGACTTTGGCTGATGTGGCTGTGCAGATTGGATCTCTTAAATTTTGGACTTTTTTGCTGTCATTCATTTGCAGGGACCTGCCTCTGGAGAGTCCTAGAGGAAAAGATCTCACAGTCTGAAGTTGATGATCCACTCCTCAGAAACTCCTTTATGGTGTGTGTGGATGAGGTCCATCCTCCACGTGTGCACGGCCTGCTGGCTTCTTAGGCTCTGTGTGGTATGGACAGAGAGAGTGAGGGAGAGAGAAAGACAGCAGACTGAGCTTCCGTGGTTGGCTATTTGGCAGCCAACCCAGACAGTTTCCTTATCTGATGACAGAGATTACTCTGATTAAACAAAGGCTGAAATGGACTAACAGGCCTGCATGTTTTTCACTCTAAGCATTGGCTTCCTTTTGAGAAATATATTCTACTTGGAAAACATATTTCATTTTAATATGTGGCACATGTAAAAAACTGAATGATTCAGATGCAGCCTCTCGAGCATTTCTGAACCTCATTCTCCTCCCCAAGGGTTAGAAGCACTGTTAGCAGTTTGGTGTGTGACCTCCAGGCATTTTTGTCTGCATTTAAATTCACAAATATGCACTTAGAAATTATATACTCATCATGTGTATGTGTGTGTGTTTATATAATGCTGTATATATTGCTCTGCAATTTCCTTTTTTTTTTTTTTTTACTTATTCATTCAAGTACCCCAGGCTCCTGAG